TTTCTAACCATAAGTACAATTGTGTAGTCATCAGGTAAGAAACAAACTAAGGAACTGTGAGTGCTGTTATGTCCTACATGGAGTAAATTACTGATAAGTTCAAAGGATCAGCTATCAATTTTTTATTAAAATAATGCTTAGATTGGAAATAGAAAACTTATATAAGAAAAATAAAATCATTTATGACTAGAAAGGGGTAAATCATAGCCAACAAATAACAAATTCTATAAACAGTTATATTGTATGAACAAAATTATTGACTAAAGTATAAAAATTTATTTGGTAGAATTTCTTTAAGATGAGTTCCATTAATGACTGATGTACTCATAACAGTATATCAAGGGTTAAATTATCTTCTAAAACCATCACATAGAAGATTCAGCAAGGAAAAAATTGCTGAAAATTATTATCTTAAGGGCAAAATCAATTCAGACTATTTTTTACAACACTCCTCATAACATAATGCAAGGCATGTGTAGAAACTTAGTGATTCCTTAAAAGAGCTAAAAAACATGGGAAAACGTCCCATTGCACCTAGGACTATTTAATGATTATTGCCACCACAAAAATCTATTACACTTAGTGAGGACTAATTCAATTCCACATGTGTGTACTGAGTGCCTACTAAGTTCCTAGTAAGTCCTATAAATCAAAGTTCAGGGAATTTGTAGTGTCCCACTTGATATAAATTGGTATTCACAGCCCAGTTATTGTAACTGAATAGCTATTCATGCCAGAAGTGCATTGTACTAAGTGACAGGCTCCTTGTGATGACAAAATGAATTCTTCTATGTAAATACATGTACTCACTTGTGGTCTCTGTAACTACAAATGAACTCCACATATCTACCGCTATACCAGTTTTATTTGTGATCCTTCAGAACAAGCAATTAAGCACCTTTTGTGAACAGTAAATTGAAAAATTTAAGAAGAAAGGGGAAAATTTTAAAAATCTCGTTGTTATAAAGGGCATAAAAAGAGACAAGTTAAAATAAGGAAACAAAAGTTTTAGTGAAGCTGGCATATCATAATGCTCTATTGTCTTATCAAGTAACAATTTCCAAATGTTCTGTCAGTTGTTATTACTTACTTGATATTGCCTCTTGAAGGGCATATTAAAGAATCTATTTAAGATCCATTTTTTTTTTGCAGAGTCAGATGAACACAGAGCTGACTTGTTAAGTAACTTTTTTCAAAAATGTGATTAAAATTCTACATGAAGTTGAACTGATATCACAAAGATCTAAAAACCAAAGATTTTCATTTTTAGAGAGCTTGCTGACCACAGTAATACAGTATTATGGGTATCATGCCTGCAGTAGTTTAATATTAACCTCAATAAAAATAGGCAAAATATCTGTATTAATTCACTTAATAAAAATATGTTAGAGAAGAGAGTCTAGCAAAAGCAATTACTTCAAATGTTTCTCAAAAGATACACCAAGTAAAATAGGCACATTTATTTTGGCTGCAAGCAACAGTGGAAAAGGAAAAAAAAAATCTTGAAGTACTTTATAACACTATCTTAGGAAGTATTTCCTATGCAACTAAAGAAAAGGCTATTTAGTTTTACCCTATCCAATCCCAGAGTAATGTCTTGTCAAAGAAAGATCTTTAATCAAAAGTAGAAATCTGTATAGGAACATCCAATGCTGACTCACATAAACTTCATTTGTATTTTAATGGACCCCAGTTTTATATTTAACTTCATTTTAAAATAATTCAGGTTTATGTTTCATAAAACTAAAATTTTAAACAATGTTAGTTGTTTTAAGGCAAAGAAAAGAAACAAAATTCTGGTCAAGAGAAAAACAAGATAATTACAGCTGACACAAATCAGATCAATATTATTGAAGCATTAAAAAAATCTATGTGCTAAAATGGGCTGTTTCTCAGGAATTCAGGCCTTATAAAAGCATGCTGAGTTGGAAGCAATTAAGTTGAGTTTCAGTCTGTAAATTGTATTAGTAGAATGGCATATAATTCTCAAAGTATTCCTAGAGAGATCATTAAGCTGACCACAACAAAGAAGAAAAAGTAAATGTCTTCTATATAAAAGAAGCCTAAACACTTTTGACAAAATATCCTCCGCCTCACCTGCATTTCTTTCCTAGTATACATTTTTTTAAAGGAAAGCTGCCCCTTTTTAAGGTCTCTAATACAGAAGGCAGGCCAGACGCATCAGTTTTACAAGCAACCTCTGCAGTGAAATGGTAATGGAAATAAAGCTAACTAATCATGTCCTAGGTCATTATGTTTGACCTGACATAAATATTCATTTTACTTCTTATAGTTTGAGATCTATAGGATATCATTCAGAGGAATGTGTTTTCCAAGAGAACTTTACCAAGTACTCCTTCAAGTCATGTTTATACTCTGTTATATTCAAAGGCATAGTGCTTGATATATGAGGTGGCCATATAATTATTGCTTACTATTTATTTTTAATTAGGTTGGAAAATCACGTACATCTGTGCATTTAGTCAGTCAACCCAGCAAATTTAAATCACATGGATACTGGTATCCTCAAGCAATCTGACAATCAACTTTTGTAAAATTCTGCTTAGATTTAGTTTAAGGATGGCCAATATGTTCATTTGTCACTCAATTTTATTGTGCTTCTTTAAGTAGTTTGTTCATATTTATAGCGTTAATTATTTTTGTAATATGCATATTAAATATGCAAAAGTTATTTGTATGGTGTAAGAAAATAATAGAATAATAACATTTCATTCTACTGGGTTTTTCTCCCTCCCCTCTAAAAGGGCTATAATATATTTGTATTTGAATGATTTCTTAGTCATGTGTTAAGAAATAAAAGTTACATAATGTTTTCCACTATACCTTTTCACTTTTGATAATTACCAAATTGATGAGACTTACAAATATGTCAAACAGTATTTTATGTGTTCCTTATAATTTTCAATATTTACATGATACTTCAGAGTATTCAAGTATGATATAAACATTATAAATGGCAATGACCAAATAAAATGTTGACTAATACATGGTTTTTTCATTTTGAATTTTTTAAGTTTATACAACATAAGAAATATATAATTTGATAAAATAGCCCAAACTAAGATTAATCAGAAAGTGATATAGGAAAAGATAAGTTTAGGACTTTATAGTTTACACAATAGAAACCAGTAGTGGAAATGTTATTGTACTAATGCGTTTCGATCCTCACAATGTTAAAATATTTATCAGTTCTTAGAAAAAAAAACTTTCAAATTATATTGTTTGGATTATTTTGAAGGTTATATACATATATGATATATGCTAAGCATCATATCTTGATACAGAAAAATTGTAAACTGAAACTTAAGACAAGCTATAAAAAACTTATTAAACTGCTTATATTCAAATAGAAAGATGAATTAAATGTTAATTTCAATATAGTCTTTCCCTTTAAAACTTCTTCTCAGCAACTAACACTAATGAATAATATTGACTGAAAAAGAATTATCAATATCATTAAAGAAGTATAACTGTCTAGTTTTCATTTAAGGTACATTTAAAATTTTTTAAATGCATAGCCCCTACCTCTGTCACTATGGTAGTGATATTATCACAAAGTATAATTAATAAACTGCTTAGCAAGGAATGAGGACTCATGGGAAATATACCATTACTGCAAATTAAAAGGGAGGTGTCAGTGTGAAAAAATCAAATGTTACAAACTCTTAATGAAGCAATGTTCCAGAGTTAAACAAAATTTCATGATTATACAAAAACAATTTAGCAAAAGACACAAAATAGATGAGTTAAAGGCAAATTCTGGACACATTTAAAATGTGGGTGCAAAAATTAAACATACGAGTGGCATAAATATTGTGCAAATCCCCCCCCCCAAAAAACTTTAAGTTTCTACTTCTACTTTTAGAAAAGCATCTTAAATGGAAAGAAATGACCACAAAACTTGAAATATTATTTAAAATGACTTTCTTAAAGTTCAAGCTGAACACTTTCATTATATCTAAACATGTTTTTTAACATGTATAATCTAATATGTAATTCTGTAAGAACAATTCATATTTACTACAAAATAATCTTAGACCATTATGCCAAATTATTGAACTCTGTTTTTAAATCTCATAAATTAGCATTTAAAACTTATCTTCCATCTTGCATGAGAGTCAACGAATATATTTCACTTAATATTGAAAGAAGTGTTATAAGTGTGTGTTTTGACAGCTTAAGCGTTTTACAATTTATCTATACTATATTCTATTATATGCTTTAAGCAATAAAACAGATCCTTAAAAAATCCACAATGGTTCCATCATGGCATTTGGTGAAGTCACTGTTTTAATATTCTGTCAGATAATAGTTTCACTTGGGTTGGTTTGTGAATTCAAGTAGATCAGGTCCTAACTTGATTTGGCACCAATGTATGGATTCATGGAGACATATTCACAGGATGTATGCATTGCCTGATAGTAAGAGACATTTACAACCCAGAATATAAGAGCAGGGCAGCCTCAAGTGACATCACCAGATCAACTGCAGCGTCAACCTACTCAAATATATATCCTCCACTCCACTGCTTGCCTTTCTCTTTTCTCACTAATAGAAGCTTTACCTTGCCTCACCAGTTCCATACAACATGCCATTATTAAATAGCAGAGATTTTTACGCAGTCAAAAAGCAGATAGAAAGAATGAAACTGCAAAAAAGCAAAACAATGTATCTATATATTCTTACAAAATTTACCATATTAAAATACAGATCATCCAACTATAAGAATAACAATGAAATGGTAAGAAGCAGATTCATTCTGTTAGCTAGCAAGAACACATACACTAGTTTCCGGACATTAGGAACTAAAGCAGGTTTTTAAGCCTTTGATTTTATATGGCTCCAGTAGGTATCTCTGGATCTCTGGACTCTCTCTCTCTCTCTCTCTCTCTCTCTCTCTCTCTCTCTCTCTCTCCTCATTATTTCATTTTAATATCATTTTAATTTACTTATAACTTTTTGAGTGTACATTTACTTACAGGCATTTGTTACAGCGAAGCTGTTGGCTGTTTCAATGTTGTCCACATGAGGAACCAAATTAAAAGGTGCCTCTGATGCATTGGGACTGGTGTTATGAAGAAAGATTGCTAATCGAAAAGCAGTATATTCCTGATCTGTGTTTCTGATGAATAGACCACCTATTAAAAAAAAAAAACAGCATGAAAAGCACGCTGAATTTTTTTTCTCTTTTTTTAAATGCCATACCTACCACAGGCACAGTACTGGCAAAGCTCCCCAATAGTAAGTAGCGATTATATACACAGAACTGTTTTTTTCATCCCTGCCACTATCTTGGGGGCCTATCCTTTGTCCATCCTCAACTTGCTTTGTATTTCAGCCTTGGGGGCTTCTCATATTTTGCTGTCCCAATTTGTCATGACCACCATGACCTCTGAGACCATTTAGTGTTTCTCTTTCTCCGTCTCCTTCCCTCCCCATGATTCCCAGCACACTGCTTCAACAGCTAGAGCATCTTGCTTTCTCAGACTAAGTGGCATGCAGATTAATGAAAAAAGGGCTCCAGTTTAAAAAAAAAAAGACGTAGGGGCTATGTTGACATAGGGAGGAAGAGAAAAATGGGAGGGAAGAATTGAACTTTGTTCTCTGAAGCCCAGGGACTCAGCCTAATTAGCTACCTCTTTTACACATTCAACGACAAATGATGCAGTGGTGGGGCTGAGCTTAGCTGGAAGAAATTCAATAGCTGCGTCCCATTAAAAGACAGGAAGGGACAATAACAAGAGGAAACAAGGACGGGAGAGGGTTCCTAGAATCAGACTTGAGATGAGGGGATTGGGTTAGGGGAGGCTAAAGAAGAGAAAAGGAAAAAAAAAGAAGGGGGTGGTGGACAGGAAAATCTAACTTTGGAACCAGTGAATCTGTAGCAAGAAAAAGCTGAGGAGAGGGTGGGAGGACAAGCTCTTTTCCTCACACCGTTTCTTTTCTGTAATGGCAAGCGAGCTACTGCAGCGTCCAGCACAGGGAAAAGCAGGTTTTTAACCAACTCGATACTCCTCTAACCCCAAATGCCAACTAGAAAGATGAAGAAAAAACACTAAACATTAAATGAAACCTCGAAAAGGTCTTTTCCAACTTGTTCTAATCATTCATGAGTGACTTCAGCAGAAGGTTGGGATAGAGGAATGAGGGGAGTGGAATGAGGGTGAGGAGAAAACAGCTTTAACTGATGAGTTTCATTTAAACCTTTACAAAAGAAACGAGCTTTGTTTTTCCAGGTGGAGGACAGGGAGGGATAACAGAAAAAGAAAAAAAAAAGGTGTGGAGCGAGGTATCCCAAGGCTTTCTTGAATCCCGTATCTGCAACTCATTTAACTCACTTTGGGAAATCAGCCCCACTTGCCACATGCAAAGAGGGATTGCAATGCAAGGCTTACCTATTTGAACGCTGCTTGGAAATGCTCCCATTGCTAGTCCCCAAAATCCAGAAAATAACAAGACAAGCTGTCTGCAAATAATCCTCATCTTCTTTTTTCCTCTCTCTCTGGCGCGCTCTCTCTTTCTCACTCTCTTTTCAGATGCTGCTCAGAGAGGCATTGAGGAGGATGGCGCTAAAAACAAACCACACACGGGGGGGAGGGATTTAAAAACGGACGAAGAGAGGTAATTGTTCCCCCTCTTCCCCTCAGCAATCCATCGTGAGCTGCCGGATTTTTCCCGCAGTCTCCATCGCCCTGGAGAGGTTTTCTGTCCGGCAGTGAATGTTGCACATGCAAAAGATGGTGGAGGAGTTAGGTGGTGGTGGGAGCGTCTAGTGGCTGCACTGAGAGATGAGACATGCGCTATATCTTTCTTTCCCCTCGCTCTCACTCCCGCTCTCCTCCTTCTTTCACTCTCTCACTTACACACATACACAGGCGCAGCTACCGCACACGCTCGCGCCACACACGCGCGCGCGCGCACGAACACAGATATACACACACACGCACACACACGGAAAGAGAGAGACAGAGAGAGAGAGAGAGAGAGAGAGAGAGAGAGAGAGAGAGAGAGAGAGAGAGAGAGAGAGACAGAGAGAGAGAGAGAGACAGAGAGAGAGACAGAGAGAGAGAGAGAGACAGAGAGAGAGACAGAGAGAGAGAGACAGAGAGACAGAGAGACAGAGAGACACAGAGAGAGGAACGTCCCCCATTCCTCGTCCTCAAGAACCCAGACCATCTCCGCCCTTTCCCCATTCATACCTCAAGTGTAAACCCCCTCAGCAAGCACGTCTCCACCACCCAGTTTTGTCTCGTTCTCTTCTCACTCACCAGAGCGCCCCAGTCTTCATTCGTTTGCTCCCCTGTCAGCCTGGAGACTGGGCTTCTCTTCTCTCCCCAACACTCACTGAGCTCTCTTCTTCCACAGCAAACCCGCAGCCGGAGCAGCGCGTCTACCCACCCCACCCCCCTCAACGCCCCACTTCTATTTGTTTCGCTTCTCCCTCTCCTTCCCAATCCCTAGTGCTTCTCAGCAGCGCTTACTCGGAAACAGCTTTGCCCGCAAGGTCGGGAAGCCAAAATTAAGGTCTGGGGAGGTTAAGACCTCCCCATACTGTCCCCCTGAACCTCAGGCTGCATCCTGGCAGCCTCGAAGACGGGACCAACCGCCCTACAGCCCTAGATCTGGTCCTCTCGCCCTTTTTCTTGCCAAGTCCTCCCCTCCGACTCAGCAGCCGCAGCAGCAGCTTCAGCAGCAGCAGCAGCAGCAGCAGCAGCAGCAGCAGCAGCAGCAGCAGCAGCAGCAGCAGCAGCAGCAGCAGCAGCAGCAGCAGCAGCAAGCAGCAGCAACGCGCAGTGGACTTCAGTTCCCGCTGCAGCAAAGATTTCTCTCCCGCAAACAGTCCGTGAAGCTAGAAAGCTCGAGACGGGAATGAGTGAGGTGCCGGGGTTGAGGGGGTGGGGGTGGAAAGAGGATGAGAAGACTGGGGACCAAGGGCAGGGTGATAGGGAAAGAGAGCAATGGAGAGAAGGAAGGGTTCCGGAATTGTGCAGAAGGGGGTCTCTGGAAAGTTGAGGGATCCTGGGGTGAAGAGGAAACAAGTTTCATGTAAGTAGGGGGTGAAGTCAGGGTTAGTGAAGAAAAGGTGAAGAGTGGGAGAAAGAGTAGTTAAAATTCGTGAATCCGTTGAGATGGAGCTGCTAAGAAGTGAATGCTTTCAAATACTCCGGTAGGACAGCTCCTTTCCCGATCTGCTCGTCTCTATTCTCCCCCCCCCCATAATCTCCTTCCCCTGACAGCGAAAGCTAGGGGCAGCCTCAGTGAAATGGGTTTAAGGTGGCAAATGAAGGAATCAAGACATCCAAAAGTAGGTTCGATGAGTATAGGTGACTAGCAAAGACTAGAGGCTCTCCTTTGTCAGTCCTATTTCTTGGGTCACAGGAGTTTGCTGCTGCCTCTGATATTCCCTTAACTGCACCGTCCTCCCCCCGCCCCCCCGCACACACACATACTCGTCCTTAGCCACAAAAGGGACTGCAGGAATATTTTCAGCACCGCTTGGATGAAGATACTGGATTCGTTGACTGGCTGAAAAGAAAAAAGCATTTTTCCTGGAAAGTTTCAGATGTACTTATTTCCTCCTTTAGCCCTCCATTTCACTTGGCTGCAGCAGATCACCTGGAGGGTACACGATGTGGCAATGAATGTGGTACCTCAGAATTCTATTGTCTTCTGTCAGTACGGATTTTAACCGATCTCTAATCTGTTTCTTAGATTCGAGTTTCTAATTCCTTTAAAGTGGGAAAATCTTACAGTTTTTAGATTCATCCAGGGGTTCTAGAGGCAATGTGCCTTGGCTATGGACTCCAGAGTCAGAGTTCTCAGGAGAGCATACTCTACTAAGACATATTTCTAAAATATTAAGCGATTATTTGCATGTGATCACATGATTGTGAAAGAAATGAGAATGGCTTGGTTAATCTTGTATTACTACAAGTTTCTCAGACTTTGTAGACATTATTGAAATGTACCTTTAATTAAATGTTTCTTCACAACTGCGTTTTCAAAATACTTGCATCTATCATTTGTTTGTAGATTATAATATATTTTTTCATTTTTTATACTTTTTAAAATTTGGGATTTTCTTTTTTACCTGTTTCCTCAATTTGAATTGTGGTTTTTAGACAACTAATTCTTTTTTGGTTGTTTTTATATTTTTCGGTCACACTTCCCGCCAGATAGCTACACAGTCAGTGGCTGTGACAATAGTCACCTGAGAGTCGCTGGATTACACAAATCACAGATTTGTAATTTTAGTTTTTAAAGCCCAAGTCTGTTAGTAGGGTGGGATTTGAGACATTTTTCTTCTCTGTCATTTATACAAACTAAAAAATCCCAAACAGGAGTACAAATAATAGCATCCAGTTTTCTCATAACAAAACACTACAATAGATACACATAATGTGTGTGTGTGTGTGTGTGTGTGTGTGTGTGTGTGTGTGTGTTGGATTTAAGCTAAAAGGCAATATACAATGCTGATAGTCAGGCAATCATCAATATTCTAGGCACTGAGCTAAACTCTGTCCATCAGATATCAAAAGCTACATTTTCCTGGGAGACTCTTAACAATTCTTAACACCATTGAAACATTTATTGGTTTCTTTCCCTCCTTTTGTTTACTCAACATCGGCAACTTTCATGGTAATTCAATGTTACCATTGGTGTAAGTGTAGGAGTCCATCTGACCATCATGATCACATCAACAGAATATTACTAGTATGATTCAGACAAGATTACTATCAACTAGACCAGTAGAATATTAGCTTTTTGTGGGCAGAGACTGATTCATTTTTGTCTTTGTATCCCTATCATCTGGTTTCATGTCTTTCACTTGGTAGGTATTTAATAAATACTAGTTAGATTAGATCCATCGTAGTACAAGGGTCACCACATAGCTCGCCACATTTCAAATTTCAACTTTTTTTGGAAGTACAAACTCTTTTCATTTTTTGAAGTTTTTTTTTCTCCACTCTTTCTTCTCTTTTTGCTCAAATAACTTTTTTAGGAAGAACTAGGAAATATAAATGTTATAGAGGAAAGTGTGATGAACTCTGTCAAGGAACCTGTCTTTGAGTTTTACCTCTGTCAGTTCATCTCTTTCCTTATCAATAAAATCAGCAGCTTAAACTAAATGATTCATAAGGTATCCTTCATCTTTAAAACTATGTTATTTGGTGGGCATAGAGATCAGAGGTCTTGTGGTCCCATAAAGAAGGCAATGCAGATTCTGTATGTATAAAATTGATAGCAATAGGCACAACATCGGCCAATGAATGGTAAACTTTCCAGATACAGGTGAAAGTGCTTGTGAATGTTAATGGTAGACAGGTACCTTATGCACATTTGAGCACACTTTTATTATTTTTGTGTCCTTCTAGTTGAACATTTTCCTCTGACCCTGAGCTTTCTGAAGTTTTGCTTAACTGCATCTTGCAAATGCTTTTTATTTCATTGCTCTATTTGCAGCAAAATGTTTTGAAATAATGATCCTTATGAAGCTTAGAGAACATTTCTAATAATGGTGTCTGTAGCTCAAATTTAAATAAAATCAATTAGTTGTGTTACCTTAGCTAATTGGCTCAAACTTTCTGGAATTCTGTTTCCTCGCTGGTAAAATGAGACAGTTAAACTGGATGGTCTCTAAGGTACTTTCCTGTAATCCACTGAGTTCTGAAAACAGTTCATTAATGTGTACATGTAAAGCTTTAAATAAATGCTTTATTTTCCAAGTTTGTTTCTTAATGTTGATTTAAAAAAATCAAGATATCTTTTTCAAAATAAGGTCAATATATAGAGAAACATTTATTTTGAACCTAATGCAAATTCATCTGTCTCATAGAATCTGGGAGTGAGATGTGGTCTTAAGGGCCATGTAGGCTAACCTTGAAAATAATCCCTTCTACAACATGCCAAGTAAGTTTTCATTAACCTTCCCATTGAAGATGTATAGTAGGAGGTAATCTGTTTTCAAAAGTAGCCAATCTCACTTTTGCATAGCTATAAATTGTTCAGCAATATTTCCTTATGTGAAGCCCAAATTTAAGTCTACAAATATTTCCACTTATTGCTCCCAGTTTTGTCTTCTATGGCCAAGCTGAATAAGCCTAATCCCTCTTCAATTTGATAACCTTCTTGATACTAGAAGAAAACTATCACATCACTCTGAGTCATCTCATTCACTAGGATAACCATCCTCAGTTTCTTCAATGCATTATCATGTAACTTGATTTTATTAGCAGTATCTAAATTTTAAATAAATATTTTAAAGAAAGGTTGAATTGCCTTACTTAGCTACATCATCTCACTTATTGGGACTCAGTCTTATCTCTAAAAGGAAAAGATCAAACTGTATAATCACCAAGATCATTTCCACATCTAAATGATTTCCAAATTTGTGAATCTGTCAGAATAAAGAGGAAGAATAAGAATCATGTTTCAATATCTCCTACTGAGAGTAAGCTTGCATTTCTGTAAGACAAAATAATAGATTCTTATTATAACTGGATCCTGATGAGTAGCTATGGGTCTATTCAGCTAATGTTCTTTTTTTTATCAATTATCTTTCAGGCTAAAGTACACTGCCTTTCACTGACTTTCATAAACAAAGATGATGCCACTTCTACTGATCTGTGCCTTAAGAGGCTATAGCATGGTCCTTGCTCATCCTATCAAAAGCGTTTATTTTTAATTACGTATATATGTATGTATGTATATATATATATATATATATGCATATGTACAAGTATAATATCTAGTGGGTATAGCTATAAAAATTTTTTTTTCTTGATGCATGTCTTCTATTTTATCTAAGAAATATATTTTGTTCAATTTGAATGGGTACATTACATAT